GGACTTTTGTGGATTCTGTCCACTACTATACCCCTAGAACATAGGACAAGGCCAGACACATGGTAGGCTTTCAATAAATATTTGTTGAATAATTAAGTAATGCATTTACAGGACACAATTTCAGTGGCCACCAAGATTAGATTCTAATATTTGTATCTCTTTAGCAACATTTAATCCTGGTGCAGAGTATGAAAGCCAAACATTCACTTTGACATCTATACCCCATACCAATTCTGGTTTTAGAGATACTATCACTTTGTAACTTGTGTAAAAATTCTTCAAATATCATGGAGAAAAGAATCACCGATTTTACTTGACATTTAAAGCAATACATTTTCCCTAAGGAAACTCAAATTGTCTATAATCCCAATTGTTAATATTTTATTGCAACTTTATCTGTCTTTCTAAGTATGTGGGAGATGCAGTTATTCACATGTAACCTATATTCCCAGCCCTTGGCCCAAATGCCAGGTTTATGAAGCCAATTAGTAACTTGGCACCTTCCTCTGGATGTCTAATAAACAACACATGTCTACCATGGCTCAAGTTTGAAGTCCTTATCACTCCTCTCCCAATGCCTCTCTTTCACTAATTCCTTATATCTTAAGTACCGGTAAGCTCTGTTAGCTCTATCTCCAAATTATAATCAAACCTCTCTCCACCATTACCACTCTCACTCAAGCCACAACAATCTCCCCTTGCCTAGCTGAACTATTTACCATCCATTCTCTCTCCAAAGGCTTTCTAACATAGCATAAAATCCAAACTTCTTCTAGTAATCTAACAAGTTCTGCGTGGCCTAGCCCAGCTTTGTGCCCCCCTGCTATGCTCCAATCACCTTAGAAAACCTAGTAGCTTTCCTTCTGCCTGAAACCGCCTTACCCCAGTCACAGCCTAGCTGGTTTCTTCCTGTTCTTCAGATGGCTCAGCTCCATCTCAGAAAGGCCTTTCCCAGAAAGGCCTTTCTCAACCAAACACACCACAGAAACCACCAAGTCACTCTTCACAACTCAGCCTGTTTTAAGGATCTGCATGGCATTTATCATCTGATTTTACTTTCTGTCTCCTCCTACCAGAATAAAAATCCTCCTAAGCAATAACCATGTCTGTAGGGGTCTAGATGCTAGGGTGCCAGTGGTAAATAGTACCTAGCATCGAACGGACCCTCAATATTTAATGTAAGAGAGGTAGTGTGTGTGGTGGACAGGAGTAGAGACTATGGAGCCATGTCGCCTAGACTCCTGATTCCACTCTGGGCAGTGTGGATTTGGGCAGGCACTCAACTGCAACTCAGCTGTGTCCTCATCTATAAAAAGGGGTTGTAATAATAGCATCTACCACAGAGATTATTAGTATCAAATGAGTTAATGTGTAAGCACGAGAACAGTACCCTGCATACAATAAAGTGTACATAAAAATATTAGCTATTATCATTAAAACGTCACCTAAAATATATAAATGGTTTCTCTGTTAGTTTTTCATTTTCCTTTACATTACACTCTTATATTAGTTTTATTTACTTCCCACGCTTTCCTCTTGATGTGCAAGTTTCACCTCAGTATGTACTATAGTTCAATTTATCATTTTATTGTTAGAGTTTTGCTTATTTATATGTTGTCAATTTATGCATATTGTTATAGTATAGCTCTGATTATTTCCCCAGGAGTGACTGCTGGGAATGGAAATTACTAGATCAAAGGGATAAACCTGTGTAAAACTTTTGGCCCAGAGAGCTGGTCTGCAACCTCAACAGCAGAGTTGGAAGAGTTCCCATCCTACCAGCCTTGCGTGCTTTTTAAAAACAGTGTTTTAATAGCAGAAAAAAAGTATTATACTGCTCTTTTAATGTATTCCTAGTAAGGTTGACTAAATATATTTATTGTGAATTATTATCAATTGCCTTTTACCCATTTTTTTTTCTACTGGGTATGTTTCCTTCCTATTTGCTTCTACTATCTCTAAACATTTAGACTAGCAAGCTTTTTTTTTTTTTAAATGAGAGACTGAAGCTTAGAAAAGCTAAGCAAAGGTTACAAGTGGTGAAACTAGAACTTGAGATGCTTAAACTTATTTTGCTATGCAACATCTAGAATGACTTGGCATTCAAATCATGCTTCCCCCACAACCCTCCAACCAGACAATATTAGCATGCTTTTACAATTCTTTCACTCTTATATGCTGACTCTATTGTACTGTCTTGCTGTTTTCTGGTTTGTTTTCAATTAATTTTAATATAGAACCTTTTTATTTTGGAATAATTTTACATTTACAGAGAAGTTGCAAAATAGTAAAGAGAGTTCCCATATACACCTCACCCAGTTTTAGCTTCCCCTAATGTTATCATCTTACATTGTTGTGATCCATTTGTCAAATCTGTCAAAACTAAGAAACCGTCATTGGTATATTACTATTAACTTCAGACTTTATTTGGATTTCACCAGCTTTTCCTTTAATGTCCTTTTTTTCTATTCTAAGACCCAGTCCAGAGACCACATTGCATTTGGTTGTCATGTCTCCTTAGTCTCTCTTAGCTCTGACAGTTTCTCAGTCTTCCTTGTTTTTGATGATCTTGACAGTTTTGAGTAATAAAGTATTTTGTAGGATGCACCTCAATGTGAGTTTGCTAAAGCTTTTCCTATGATTAGATTGAAGATAAAGCTTTCTGGGATGATGACCATAGAGCTGATGTGCCTTTTTTGATACATCCTATGAGGGGTACATGATATCGTGATTTAACCTTCATCACTTGGTTAAAGTAGTATCGGTTGGATTTCTCTACTAAAAATTTTTTCTCTTTCCATACTCTATTCTTTGGAAGTGAGTCACCTAGTTCTACCTTCTGGAAGAGGGAGTATCTACATAAGTTATCTAGAATTCTGTTAGGAAGATTTGTCTCTTCTTCCCTATCTAGCCACATATTACTTACCTATTATTGACTCATTTTTATTAGTATGGACTCATGGATATTTATTTTATGCTTTTGGTTATAATTCAGGTTTAAGTTATTTTGTTGCTCAAGTTGTCCCAGCTTGGGCACTGGGAGCCTCAACTACAGATACAGTTGAGGGAAGTATGTGTGTACACTATGCCAGGTACTGGTATCAAGATAATGCTGGCCTCTAAAAATATATTAAGTAATCATATGGTACTAATATTACCTGTTCTCTGAGAGTCTAGAGAAGCTCATCAATAAAACATTGTATTTATGTACCTACAGGGTAATTTTAAATAAATATTCTAATTTTTTAAATGGCCCTTAATTTCTTCAGAGCGCCTATCTCCTCTTTTTAATAAAATACTGACACAAACTTAGCTTCTGTTAGCATTTTATAAATTCTCCAATCTTTTCTTTTATTTAGAACTTTTTAAAGTTATCATATAAAATTGATGTATCTCAATGTTTTTCTATTCTAATTTCCAATCTTGTTTTCTTTTTTATTCAGAATCTGCCTGCTTTATGATTTAAAAAAATTTTTTCACATAAACAGTAAGTTCCTATATTTACCAACCTATTCTTGTTTCATTAATTTCTGGCTTTATCTCTTTCCTCCTGCTTTCCTTGGAGTTATTTTTTCTTTTTTTGAGTTGGAGTCTCACTCTGTCACCCAGGCTGGAGGGCAGTGGCAAGCTCCTGGCCACTGCAGCCTTGACCTGCTGGGCTCCTGCGATCCTTCTGCCTCAGCCTTCCAAGTAGCTGGAACTACAGGCACGTGCTACCAAGCCCGGCTAATTTTTGATTTATTGTAGAGACGAGGTCTCGCCAAGTTGCCCAGGCGGGTCTTGAACGCGTGAGCTCAGGCAATTTTCTTGCCTCGGCCTCCCAAAGTGCTGGGATAACAGGCTGAGCCACGGAGCCCGACCTATTTTTCATTTTTTTAATACCCTAAGTTGACTTAGTTCATTCTTGTTTGTTTTTTTGAGTTGGAGTTTCACTCTATCACCCAGACTAGAGTTCAGTGGCACAATCACGGCTACCACAGCCTTGACCTACTGAGCTCAGGAGATCCTTCCACCTCAGCCTTCCAAGTAGCTGGGACTATGGGTGTGCACCACCATGCCTGGCTAATTTTTTTATTTCTTGTAGAGACAAGGTCTCACCATGTTGCCCAGGCTGGTTTCAAACTCCTGGGCTTAGGCAATCCTCTTGTCTTGGCCTCCCAAAGTTCTGGGATTACAGGCATAAACCACCATACCCGGCCATTTCCTCCTTTTCATGTTAACAAAAAAAGATTATGGTAAACGCAATTTGGTATCCTGGACTGGATCCTGAAACAGAAAAAGGACATTTGTAGAAAAGCTGGTGAAATCGTAATAAAATCTGTAGTATAGTTAATAGTAACTTGCCAATAATAATTTCTTAATTTTGACAAACATACCATGGTTATATAAGATGCCAGTATTAAGAGGAAAATGAATATAGGACGGAGACTCTCTGTACTTACTATCTTTGCAACTTTTCTGTAAATCTAAATTATTCCAAAATGATATGTTTATTTAAAATTTTCAAATAGCTTATGTAAGCATAGCTTTGGCAATAACTGTAATTTTATATATGGTATTTGCATTCCTTGACTTTCAAATTAATTTCTCATAGTATGTTATTCTCTTAATTAGCAGATTAGCTTTAATTTCTAATTAGCAGGGTTTTTAAAATTACATTTTTGTATTACTAAAAACAAGCTAGCAAAAATGACTGTACAATTTCCAATTTGGGAACATTGGTTTTTCTTTATGACCCAAACTCTGCCTTCCCCACATCACTTACTTCTGCAGCAATAAATATGAAAGCATTTTACTGGGGGGAAGGGCTGTGAAAAGAGACTAGGGAAATATGTTGACAATAACTATAGTTTTGCATTTTTTTTTTTTTGGTCAATTAACACCTTATTCATGGAAATACAGCTTTTTATTGCTAAAACTTTGTTTTCTACTTATACGAGAAACACTAAGGAATCTAGGAAAGATCTTTGGAGTCTTTCAAAATTGACAATATGTCTCACCAGCTGCTGCTCCACAGGTGGTGGTACTTCCAGGTTGGCATAAACGATGGCAGGATTGTAAAGACTGAACACCACAGGGTAAAATACCTTCTTACCTATAAATGAAAATATATGTTTGCACACAAAAAAGTTATGAAGGATTGCTCTTTATTGCAATATCGATCAAGGCTTTATTAAAGTCTTATTAACACATAAGACGATTTTATTTTCTCAATATTGCATTTCATCAGTATTCAGGCTAAAGAACATCATGATTTTATATTAGTAGGTCAGGCTATGTAACTATAATCTTGCAAAAGAACAGAGAAAAAAACAGACTAAAGGGTAGATACACAAAGGCATCTACATTTGTGGACTTTGGGAAGATACACAAAGGTACTCTTTATGCTATTCAATAGGTAAGTCATTTATTACTCATTATTTCATCTAATCAGCAACAGTAAATGTAGATTAACCTCTGACAGTCATCAAGAAACATGGAAATATCTGTCAAATCCACACTTTAAAATTATTAGAAACAGTAAATCCAAAAAACACTGTACAATGAATAGATACGTAGAGATTTAAATACAAGATATATTTGAACCAAAATCTAGAAAAGTTGGGAAGGGTTAAAAATACTTAATAGAATAGCCCTTGCAAGCCTTGTTATTAGCATTCAAATTGACTGCCTAAAGGTACCTTAAAGGCTAAGTATAAGTAGCCCATCTTCCCTCAGTAGAGAAATTCGTTGATAAGACTAGCTTCAATCAGATGTGGTCACATGAAGTACTCAGTAACTGTACCAGAAAGCTTGGGAGCAATATAGCAGTCTTTTTATTACAAAATCCTTAGCAGATGCTCAGTCCACCTATGATCAGATTCATTTAGGGAGTGAGAGCTCAATTTCCCAGAGGCAAATCTATTTCTGGATATAACATATTCCCTTCTACATTAAGCAAACATGTTTCCTTCAACTTCTACATTTTGAATTTTATGCTGTTTGCAGTTACAAAATAAGCCTAACCTTCATTTACTCATTAGGATCTCAGAGCTCCTGATAACTATCTCTAACCAAATTGATACAGAAGATAATCGGTTGCATGATATAGTTCTACATAAAAAAATTACTATGAGATTCTTTTTGAAGATTTATTTTTTAAATGGATAAAACTGCATATATTTATTGTGTACAACATGACGTTTTAATACATATATTGTGAAATAAATCAAGCTAGTTAACATACATCCATTGCTTCACATAATTACCTTTTTCTGGGCTGTAAGAACATTTATTTATTTATTTTATTTTTTGGGTAGGAATCTCACTCTGTTGCCCAGGCTGGACTGCAGTGGCATGCTCATGGCCACCGCAGCCTCGACCTGCTGGGCTCAGGGGATCCTTTTGCCTCAGCCTTCCAAGCAGCTGGAACTATAGGCACGCGCTACCATGCCCGGCTAATTTTTTTTGATTTATTGTAGAGACAAGGTCTTGCCAAGTTGCCCAGGCTGGTCTTGATCTCCTGGGCTTAGGCAATCCCCTTGACTCAGGCTCCCAAAGTGCTGGGATTCCAGGCTTGAGTTACTGTGCCTGGCTGGTAAGAACATTTAAAATCAATTCTCTGAACAATTTTCAAGTATACTATACATTGTTATTAACTATGGTCACCATGTTGCACAATAGATTTATTGAACTTATTGATTCCATTGAGATTAATACAGAAACTTCCTTTTTCACTTATTATAAAATTTGATTTAGAAAAATGTCATTTGCTCATTCATTTAAAAAAATATCTACAACGTAAAGCAAAGTATAATAAATCACCCCAAACTGCATATTCTAGAGACCAAGCACTATCTGTATCTAGACTGTGAGTATGTGTGAATGTGTACGTGTGTGTGTGTGTGTGTGTGTGTGTGTGTGTGTGTGTAGATGCTATATGACTGAGACTGAGTGCTTCTGACTCATACATCTCCACACCATCTGCATGGCTCTTTTTCTGATCTGTACTGCTTCCTTCTCATCAATTTCTAGATGTCCAATTCCTTTGCATTTCTTTACTGACTTTAAATGTAGTTATTGGAATTTGGCCCCAAGAGAACAAAGGATATGAACTTCAGAGTTCAATTTCCTACTTAGTATTCCTGTTAAACTATGCCTAATATAACTTAAGAAAAAACATATCATGGTTTAATTAAAACTTTTCCCTCAAATTAACTTGATTCAACCTATAGGACACGCCAACACTGTTCCAAATTCTATACTCTTGCTCATCTACCAACGTTTTACGCACCTGGCTCTGCATTTAACCGGCAGCTGTTAAGGAATTCGGCTGAGAAATATATATCAACATCACAGAAAAACATCAAGACCTCTCCCTTGTCCCAAGCTCGGGCACCCACATTTAGTCCTCGTCCACGATTAAATTCTTCATTCAATGAGACCAAGGTGTAATTGTGAAAATTAGACTCACTATGAGGAAAGCACATACAACACATGATTAAGTCCCACTTTAAAGTTAACAATTCTCTTCCTTCAACACAACTTACAAAATATGTTTTACACTTCAAATATTTTATTATGTTGGTTCAGCATTCACACAGGGAAAGAAAATCGTCATCATCATGGATGTCCCTTCATTAGGGACAGATATTCACTAAATGCCCACATTTGAGGCAACATGCTGGTGGTGTGAGGTTAAAGTGTTAAGAAGTGCCCACTGTCCTTTGGGAATCTTAAAAACCTATTGGGGAGTCAAAAAGTACATACATGAAAAAATAGCCATAATGTTTTACAGCAAATAATGCAGTCTAAAGGAATGGTATACACAAAGATCACTCTTCTCTCACATTCTTTGAGTATCTGCACAAATGTCCCCTTATCAGAGGGATCCTCCCTAATACCACGTGTTAAGTAGCACCAACCTCCCTCTCTTTAATCTCTATCCTCTTTCCCAGCTATTTTCCTTAGTACTACCAGACATGTTCATTCAAGTGTCTCCCCCACTCCATGAGTACAGGAATTTTGTTTTGTTCATTACTATGGACACAGTGTTCCTCACAGAGTAGGAATTCAATAAATATTTGCTGAATAAATGAATGAACAGCAGTTCTGAGAAAATAGATCTCTTATGTCTGGAGCAGTTGGAAACAATGTCAGAAGTGGAACTTGAGTTATGCCTTGGTTAAAATGCTGTTCAGTGGCAAGTCTAAAGGTCACTCCAAATAATTATTCTCAAAGGCAAAGAGGTAAGAAAGTAGAAAGCATTTTAGAGAACAGGGATCAGACAACAAATCAGATTGGAACAAAAGGATCCTAACATGGGAACAAAGAGAGAAGGGTTAGATAAAGGAACCCTAAAATGGGAACAATGAGAGAAGGGTCAAACTGAGGAATACTTTACATGTGAGGTTAAAGAATTGGTCAGTATCCCAAAGGCAAAGAGAGTCAGCAGGGTAGTGGTTCTCTAGGGTAGTAATTTTCACAGTGAGGCCCCCAACCTCACAGCATCAGCTTCCCCTGGCAATGTGTTAGGGATGCAAACTCTCAGGATCCACCTCAGATCCGCTGAGTCAAATGCTAGGGGTGGAACTGAGCATCTACATTTTAATAAGTCCTCCAGGTGACTCGACACTGAAGTTGGGTACAGCTATATGCAAAAAAGTAACATTTTAGTAAGATTATGCTTAAAATAGTACAGAACAGGTAGTGGAGAGATGTAAACTAAGGTTCAAATGGTGCATGGAGCGGAGTCCAAGTGCTCTGAGTGCCCAGGACTCTTCTACTCATCTTAAGGAATACATTTGTCTCTCTTCTTATGGGGAAACTGCCCATTAGCAACCCGCATGCCCACCACCAAGTGGAAAAGGCAATGATCACAGGATACCCTTCACTTCCTGCCCACCCCAACCACGGTAAGTTCCTAGGGGTGGGGACCAGGCTTAAACTGGGCCAATCCCAATACCCCCACCCCACCTGGCCATAGCGATTGGCTCAAGAGTGGGCAAAATGTCCTTCCCTGGGATTTTGTCAACTGGAGTTGGGAGAAAGCTCTTTCCTCTCTGATGGCAAAGCTGAGAAGATGTGAGCCCAGAGCCGCCAACAGTCATATCCCTCACCATGTGGAAGAAGCCAATCTGCAACAGGAGAATGAAGTCAACATGCAGAGAAAAACAGACAAGGAGACAAGAGAATTTTGATGATGAATATTCAAGTCTCTGGTTCAAATCCCTGAGACACCAAGGTTGTTTTGACTTTCTTCCCCAAATTTGGCTGTAACAATCCCTTTAGTTCTGGGAAGTATTCAAGATTCTTCAATACTACTCCTATTTTCCTTAAGCAAGCTCAAAGTAGGTTTATATAATTTGCCACAGAAGAGTCTTGACAATACAGGACAACTTCAGTAATGCAGTGTGAGTGCTTGGAACTTAGTAGGTGATCTAAAAACAGTAAGGAGGGAAGAGAGGAAGGGAAAAAATGGAGGAAGGGGAAAACAGGGTTAGGGTGATGGCAGTAGCAAGGAAGGGACAGAGAAGAGGACCTGAGAAGTAAGTAGAAACTGACTAATTAGAGGTAATCAGAGGCAAAGAATGAGTAAAAGACGCTGGCTCTCAGAGGTCAAGGCCAGGGGATCCATATAAACGATTTTACTCTGAACTGAAAGAGGGTCATCAGGGGGAGGAGCTGGTATAGGGAAGGGGAAGACGCTGAGTCATATATACATAAATCAAGGCTGTGAGAGTCCCTGTAGGGCAGGGACTGAGATCCACTCATCTATGCCTAGTTTTCTTCCAACTACCCGAAGTCAGACTCCCAAGCAATGTACCTGGAACACAACAGGTAGGACTCAAAGAATATTAGTTGAATGATTTGAGAAGAATGGCCAGCCAAATCTGGGCTCTTAGGAAATGGCTACAACTGGCAGAAACGTAAAATAGTAAAGGATACAGAACTGGTATGGTTGGAGAAGACAATCTAATCCTTTTATATTACATCATATTTACATTTATAAAACATTTACATATATAAAACATTTGACAAACATAAGAAGGACATTTTAAGACAAAGGTATGGTTAGGTTGTCAAATGTAAAAAAGAATAACGGAGACTAGGCTGAATTTGGCAGTTAGGTTGTATCTCTGGGCTCATCATTTAGACAGGAAAAGGCTGAGAAGCTATAGAAATAATAATTAAATATTAAATAATTACTAATTTATTCATTCAAACCTCTGAGCACTTACTATGTGCCAGGTACTATACAGGTTGCTTAGTTACAGAACTGTTCTGTGAGGTTGAGCCGTGAAAGGACAGAAACAACAGTAACTACTGGGTACTGCAGAGTCAGGTGGGGGTCTTAAGGATATGGGAGACTTAAGCATTTTATACAGGGTGAGAAGAAGGAACTTGAGGAAATGGAAGGAAAGGTGACAAACAAAGAAACAAGCTCAGGAGATGATGTCAAAGTGAAGGAATTAGATTTAGAAAAAGGGAAAGAAGCAGCAAATATGTAGAAGGTAAGTGGGCCACCGAGGGAGAGCATCATGATCATGCCAGGGTATGTGCTAAGCAGTGAAGGGAAGTTGAGTCATGTAGGGTTGCATATGAAATGAGGAACTGATTATCTCCACCACCACCCACATGATCAGCCAACTTTTAAACAGCAGTTATTCTAAATGATTAACTCATTACATATCTGACATTTTCACTTTTCTAGTAATGTGATATATCAAGAACTTTCCTGTGGACTTGGTTCACCAACCTTGTGACAGATTCTAGGATAGACTTGACCGTAGACAGTCCTTCTTTACCAAAATATACCACTGTGAGATGAATCCTCTTGTCCTGATGAATACAAACATCCCTAAAACAATTGAAAAATAAAGTTTATTTAAGAAAACGTATGAGGCTCATTCAGAAAGAAATCACATGAAGCTTTAACAAAAAAAAAAAAAGAGGCATTACAGATACAAAGTAAATATAAAAGTGGCAGTATTGCAGAATTATCGAAGGTACCACAACAACACAAGGTCTATGCCTGAATGACTGCAGTCCTTAGAGAGCCATTGAAGTAGTCTGACATTGTTGCCATACTTCAAAACATTTTTGGAACTCTTGCTTTGGGATTGGTTTCAGAAGCAAATGACAAGTTATTTAATGAAATAAATTCAATCAGTTCAGAACCTTGTAAATAAATATTCAAGTTTTGGATTCTTTATAAATTATCTGCATTGCAAGATGGAATAACTTTCTCCCATTTTTAATTTAACGGTTGTATTTCTAAATTTATTTCAATTTTGAAACTCAAATCATTGTCACAGGATTTTCTTGGGAGACAGAAATATTCTATATCTTGACTGGGGTGGTAGTTTGTGAGGATACACATTTGTTAAAAGTCACAAAACCTGTATCTTTAAAACGTGGATTTTATTATATGTAAATTATGTCTTGGTAAAGTTGATTTTGAAAAGTTCAACTTGTCCTAAAATGAATTTGCATACAATTTTAAAAGCCATCAAATTTAGTTTCTAATAATTGTCATTCTCAATTTATCTCACAGTTCAAATTGTCAATAAACATGTTTTAAGAAAAAACAATATAAAAAAGTTCCCCTAAAGTCTATGAAATTATTCTATAATTCTAAGTAATCATATTCAGTGAAGATAAATTAAGTAAATCTGCTTTAGGAGAGTGCAGCCAAATCATTAACCCGACAGTTACCTGAAGTTCTGCATAAACTGTGCAAATGCTTCAGTTCTTTCAGCAAGTGGCACAATGATATTAATAACTGATCTAGTAATATCAATCATCTCGCTCTTTACTTTCATAAGAGGTCCAAAAGGGCGAAAGAGGGTTACATGTCTATATTCCATAAGTTCTGCTTTCTTAAAAAAGAGTTCATACTGGGTGCCCTTATCTCTCTCGGTGCGATAATAACCTAAAAGAAAGAGTTGGAAAAAAGACTCCTTCATGTCAACGTTTACAAATTCAACAAGACAGATTCTACTCAGTCAAAAATCAAAAGTATTCAGTCAGACTTGCAGGATTTTTACATGTTTGTGAAAATATTTCTCCCCACGGCATAGCTAGTAACAACTATTTCTTTGAAAGGAAAGGTTAAAAAAAAATGCTCACTGCTCTATTATTCAGTTCACAAAGTACACTCCAAAGGACAATTATTTCTTTTTACATATGACTTAAAAAAAATACTAAATCTTATCAACATAGTAATCATGACAAATATATTGCTTCTAGAAATATTTAAATGCTGGACCTTAGAATCAAAATTCCTATTGCTTAGTTTAGCTCAACAACAACAAATGCCTTTATGTTAGTCACTGGTAATATTAAGAGAATCACATGGTCCCAGTTTTGAGGAAGGAACAGTATAGGGAGGGAAACAAAAATAGAAAAATAGTAACAATATAGTGATATATTCATATACACACACATATAAATATACACACATATAAATTAACTGAATAGAGTGAAGTCAGACAAAGAAAAATTGATATAGATTTAAATACAGTGATTTGAGATGCCTTTGAGAGAAAAGCCTGAATGTCTACCAGGCAATCTGCTTTTTAAGTGTGATGCTTAGGAGAAAGGTTAGACCTAAAGACATGTGAATCACTCAGTCAATATCTGGGTATAAAATGGTAAACAAGATGGATTTCTAACATCCTGAAGCTTACAGTTTAGTAGGTACTATAAACCAGGAAATAGGCAACACCATATACCGCAACAAGTACTATGAGTATACAGGTGACGAGCACATAGCAGCACTGCTATCTTAGACTTGAATTGGAGATGACTTCCAAGAAGTGATATATGAGCTAAAGTTTAAAAGAGGAATAGGAATTAGTTGCTACTAGTAATTAAGTATTTTGGCAGGGGGAGGGCAATAGCACAGTGAAGAAAAAATGAGGGACGGATACATTCCATACAGAGAAAAATCCTGAAAGTAACAGAATCCTAGGATAGCTATAAGATAAGCAGAAGTTGCAGGATATAAAATCGGCACAGTTCCCTTTGTTTTTAGACAGAGCTGATGTAAGGACACTTTAGACACGTTACTTAGCTACCTTATTTCCTCTGTAATTTCCAATTCTGCCATAAGCTACAAACATAGAGTGAGAAGACAAAAAGCAACCTGCAGAAAAATTAGAAGAGTTTTGAGAAAAACAAGCCATCAAAAATGGCAGGAAGTGCAGGGAGTGGTGACTCTTCCCTGTAATCCCAGCATTTTGGGAAGCTGAAGCAGGAGGATTCTTCAAGCCGAGGAATTTGAGACCAGCCTGGGCAACACAGTGAAACCCTGTCTTAAAAAAAATGAAAAAATTAGCCAGGTGTGGTAGTATGTGCTTGTAATCTCAATTACTTGGGAGGTTTATGTAAGAGGATCTCTTGAGCCCAGGAAATTGAGGCTGCAGTAAGCAATGATTATACTACCTCATTCCAGGCTGGGCAAGAGTACTAGACCCTGTCTCAAAAAAAAAAAGGCAGGACGTGACAGCAGAAAAAGAGGCCACAAGGAAAAGACAGCTGAAATGTCACAGCAAAGTACAATGCCATTTCTGATGGCCTCCAAAGACCTCAATGCATTATATTAAAGTGCAGCAAGTGACAGCCATGATGACTTGAAGTCAAAAAACCTACATATAGTATATGGTTTATAGAATCAAGCAAAGAGAACTTTTAAAAAATATTTATATCCAAAATGGTTTTAAGTCTGAAATTAAATGTCTAGCGGGGGTGTTAAAGGAGATGTGTAGGGATCTATAATCATTTCTGTTAATATTCATCAACAAATAACTTAAATGTATAGCAATGTTCCTCAGCCTTCCTCAACCTTTAATTCACATTCCATCTTGATATATAAAAATCCCATACTTTTTATAAAATTTGTATTAGGTAAATAGGTTATTTCCTTACTTTTCTAAATGCCAAATACGCTTTTTAAAACTATGTATGCCTCCTTGATGTTGACATGCGCTTCTCCTTTCTCCAACATAGAAAATAACTACTAGTCTACCAAAGCAGTTTTTTTCTTTCCTTTATTAAATCGTTTTCAAATTTTGAGCCTTGGTTCATATATTTCTAAAAACATAAAAAATAAACATCAAGACCAGAGGAGAGGAATACAAATCATACACATGCAAATACATACAGTCCACAAGTACTCTTCAGCCTCAATAGTTAGTATTTTATATAAGCTTAGATTTATTCTGTTTCTCTAGTTCTTATGCTTCATTTTTATGATGATCTCATAACTTTTTCCAAAAATTCACTTAAAATTCTTAATGGAATGCAGTGGGTAAAAACTTAAGTGTTTTAATACTGTGGTTGATGACTGACATATTACCAGCATATAATACTAGCATTTTGTCTTACCAACATAACTATTAACCAACATATTTTTCACATTACCTTCTACGAAGTCATTTTCATTAAATATCAGTTTCTCTCCAAGGGGACCCTCCTCATCTTCCTGTTCATCATCTTCATCTGGATTATTAATGACCTCCAAGCCAGCTTCAATAGCTTCTACCAATTCATCTCGTTTATCTTTTCTAACAGGCTTTTCTTCAGGATGGCGAGTGAGACCCATTTCCAGTTGAAATACTTTCATTAAGGTAAAACTTTCAAAAGGAATGACTCCATACTCACTGGGCAGTTTGGCTCCTATGCTAACTTCGGCTTTGTCAATTTGGGAATGAAGAAACTCTAAAAGATCACTAGGTGCTTGCTCTTTGTTACCTTGATAGCCTATGCCATTAGCCCCCACATTCTTTCTCTCTTGCAGTGATCTCATCTTCTCACTCATTTCTTGTAATTCTTGTTTTAGTTGGGCAATTTGGCGTTTCAGGCTGGTTGCTCTGGTTTGATAATGTTCTTCTTGCTCCTGCAAGAGGGCCTGATAATACTCTTTACCATAATTTTCCCCAACAACACCAGGAAGAGATGCATTTCCATCAGTCTGGGGTGCACATTCCAGAAGGTACATAAATAATACCAAACTGCAGAGCAAAGCGAGGCCCAACAGCAGCCAGTGGGTCCGGGTCTGAAGAATCAATCCTCTTCTAGGCATTCTTATTAACATGTACTCGCCTAACAAGATAAACTCTTTGCTTGTTCATATCTTTGGTAAAAAAAAAAGTTATTAAAAATTAAAAACAAAAGCAGGATTTTCATAAAAGGTACCAAAACCAAATTCTGCTATAGTTTTAAAAAGTTTATTTCTTCAGCAGTCATGACTACTTCCTGCACTGTTACCATGATACCCAGAATAAAGCAATCTGATGTATAGAATCCATTATATGAGTAATGTTAATTTTTTCTGAAAGAAACAGATCAGAATCAATCAGAATTTTGTTTCCTTAAGTATATCAAATTGTAGCTTCAGTAAACCTAGCTATGTGACTACTACATGTAGAGAACTATGAAAGGAGCTAATATAATTTAGAATACTCAATAAATACTGGGGAAATTTTTTAAAGTACCTCACAAAACTCTAAAATATTATGCATAATATTTTTAACTAGTATGTCTACCACCCATAACTTGAATTAAAAAAAATTAAAATTATGTTCTGCATAGTTTGTATTACATAGATTCTACTGTTCTCTAATTATTTGAAAATTATATCACTTATAACTCTCTATTAATACAATAATTCAATTATCACACCATTTTTCAATTAAAGCATATGCCCATTTGGGAACTGACTTTCTAGAAAATGTTTGTTATAGTAATAATGGTTTACTGGAGACTGGTATTTTCTTCCAGTTTATTCAATTCACAAATTCTACCTCATCAATTTCTATTACTCAACTCAGCCAATCTAGAAGGCTTAACATTAAGTGGGGGAGAAAAACCATTTCAAAAGGCCACAGACATCTGTGAAGCACATTAAGAAAACATTTTTCTATCCAAAGTTCTCCAGTAGATTATTTGCGCATTAGATCATATAATTCTTTCCACTGTATTACACAGCAACAGATTTCCTATGAGTTTGGAAACGTTTGGAGTCTATATAAAGAAAAAACATGAACATTTAAATCATGCTTATCTGAAGAGAAAAAAATTAAAACTATAAATTTACAAAACTAAATACTAACTTTCATGTTATAACCAGTCATGTGAGCTCTTCCATAGCTCTAAGCTAAAGATTCTTTTTTAAAAATGCTTTTTGTTCTATCCTTTTTATTTACATTATTATTATTATTATTATTATTGGTTTTGTTTTAGCTAAAGATTCTTAACTCTGGAAATACAGAAGGTTAAACTTAGGAGTGGGAGACAGGGAGGCCTCCACTGCAAAGAGAACTTCCTTCAACAAAGTGTTTGTCGAGAAAGGATAATGTGATATGACAGCAGGCTTTTTAACACCAGTGGTTTTTTCAGTGTGGCAGAACCCATGGAAAATCACTAGGAAACATCAATCCTAGTTACTGTTTTAGTGATTAGGAAAGTCTGGATGCCTTCTGGGGAAAATGCTGCAATATGCATTTTTTTGTGGTACATGTCTGGATAAAACATAGAATAGATTAAAACTTCTAACGGCCAGTAGGCCACAATGAACTTAACTCCCCTTAGCTATTTATTATTTTAGTAAACCAAATGATAACCAAGTATCTTGAAAAATTTAATTCACTACAAGGGAGTCTTTTACTAAGACAGCATCTATCTTACTGATTATAAATCTTGTTTAAATGATGTAGAAAAATTTAGTCTTAATAAATACTATATAATTAAAAATTACGAATACAAAGCTAACATTAGTTCCACGACTTAATCATGCCTCAAAAACATAATCATAAGCATAAGAAACAACTGGAATTTATTTAAAAGATAAACTTAGTAGCATCTCTTTTAACTATTTATTAGTCATTACTTGCCCAGTTATTAGAGGAAAGAGCTGCAAGTGTGGAGATATAATCTTGTATAATTATTAATAAAGGTATATATACTTAAACCATAGTATACTCAAACTGTTCTGAAGTGAAACTTGATAAAAGAACCAACAGTATGTAATCTAAGTACCAGTATCTTTTATTAATATGGTATCTCATCTATTTTTTTATATAGACAATGTATTTTAAACCATGAGCTATGACTCATAAATAAGTCACTGTTAAAGGCTTATTCTATAAAATAAAAGGCAACATTAAAGTTAAGGTTGTCAATCTTTCTCTCTTCCTTAAGCAAAATATAGGTTTTGAGGTCTCTTACATGCTACTTAATATTACAGGTGAATAGGTTTCAATGAAATAAAACACAGAAGCCGGGCTCAGTGGCTCAGCCTGTAATCCCATGCTTTGGGAGGCTGAGGTGAGTGGATTGCCTGAGCCCGCGGGTTCGAGACCCGCCAGGCAACTTGGCAAGACCTCATCTCTACAATAAATCAAAAAATTAGCTGGGTGTGGTAGCGCGCAACTGTAGTTCCAGCTACTTGGAAGGCTGAGGCAGAAGGATCGCTGGAGCCCAGCAGGTCAAGGATGCAACGGCCGGGAGCGACCACTGCATGCCAGTCTGGGCGACAGAATGAGACTCCAACTCAAAAAAAAAAAAAGAAAAGAAATGAAAGAAAGATTATTGCAATTACTTTAGCATGTAAAAGTTGGTTTCATAACTCCGTGGTTATTAAAACTAAAGGATTCCAGTTAAAATCTTATTTGCCTAATTCCTGAAGGAAACTCTTTGGCTACATCCTAGAAGACTAGATTATAACAACTTTAAATATGTTAAGACTATTAGAGAAAACATTCGTTTTTTTCCCTGTCATATCTTGATTGCCACCAATCCATATGATTTGTCTGTATCATAAATAAGGTTCATTCACAGCCCAGAGTTAATCCCAATGAACCTCCTAGGCCCAAGTGCAGATAGTTTTTTGAGGAGAGAAAGGGAAAATGTGAAGATGGGAAAATGAGCTGCTAAAGGTATGTAATACAAAGTCAAAGATCTCAGAGTTAAAAAAAACCTCATTCAGAAGCCATCGATTCTAATTCTATAAACCAGAATAAAACAACTTCCTCCTATAGCCAAGATGGAAAAACAGGGACCAGATTTGCTCTCATGCTTGAAACAACCACAAAAAACAAAACAAGAAACAACCTATCATGGCAAATACCCAAAAATATGAAGCAACAATTTTCAAGATACAGTAAGTCCCCTACATATGGACTTTCAAGTTGCAAGCTTTCAAATATGTAAATGAGTGTTCACATGTCCAGTCACATAAGTTGGTTTACATGTCTGGAGTACACTGCTACATGCATGCCTCCTCTACAAGTGGTTGTGTTTTTGTGTACTTTACTATATAGTACTGTATAGAGTACAGTAGTACAATATCTTTATTTCAAGCCCAGGATGTCTGGAAGCAAGCATAAAAGCAGCAGTGACGTAGTTGGTACTGTGCAGCCAATTGTGTTAGTTGGGTACCTAGGTTACCTTTGTTGGACTTACAAATAAATTGGACTTACGAACACACTTTTGGAAGGGAAATTGTTTGTATGTTGGGGATTTACTATATTGAACATCAGGCAACAAAGGGCAGTGATCCCCAGAGAAACAAGAAACAAGTGGTGGCCCAGCTTACTTTCTTAGTTTTCAAGTCATACACGTAGGGGAACCTAAGCAGAGCCCAGCAGATTCTGAATTGATGAGGTAGAGCTGATAGTCTGAGGAAACCAAGGCACCTAGAGTTCAAAGGAGAAGAAAGAGCTGTACAGCGAGAGAACACAAGAGGAATGGGACACCCTTTGGGTATTCAGCAGAGTACTAATCAGTGAAGGCTTATAAGGAAACTAACAGGGTAAAGAAAGGACCACACAAAAAGTTAGAGGATACAGAACTAGGCATTCATACAGGGCCAAGAATAGTGCCATGTTCCCACAAGACAGACTGGAAAAAACTCAAAATTCACAGGGTACTGGGTAAAGAACTCAAAAAAATTTTGCCTCAGAAGTGGGAAATAATTAGCTCTAGACTAAACATGCCTCTAGTCCTGCCAACAAATCTTAAAAGCAAGACCTGAAAGGATTAAATTGTTTCAAAGTAACAGCACAACAAACCTCAATAATATTTATAGGAACAAAAATACCCATCATTTAACAAAATAAAATTCACATTATCTGACATCCAAACAAAAATGACGAGGCATAAAGAAAAATAAGACCCAAAATGAGAAAAATCAATGATTAAAACTGACCTGGAAATGACACAGATGTAGGAATTTGCAGAAAGGGACATTTACAATAGTTATCATAACCATATTTTTTAAAAAGATGTTCATGTTAAAAAACCTAAGAAGGGGCATGGATGACATAAAAAAGGCCCAAATTAAACTTCAGGAAATGAAAATTTCAATGTCTGAGATTTAAAAATGTATTGAATGGAATTAATGACAGGTTAGATATTTCAGAAGAAATTTATTAGTGAATTGAAGACACAGCAATAGAAACTATGGAACATGCAAAAGAAAAAAGAATGAAAAATATAAACAGAACATTTGGTAAGCTGTGAGACAACTTCAAACAGCCTAGTAAACATGTAATTGGTGTCTCCAAAGAAGGAATTGGAGACTAGGAGAAATACTTAAAGAAATAAAGCTGAAAATTTTCCAAATTTTATGAAAACTACAAACACACATAAGTTCAACCAATCCTAAATACAAGAACCATAAAGAAAAATATAGCAAGGAATATGATAACTAAATCGCCAGTTTTGATATAAAGAGAACAACATATCAAAACTGGCTGAAAATGTTGAAAAAGCACATCACATACAAGAAACAAAAGGTAATGATGACAGAGCTTGAAAACTGCCAAGTGAGAAGACAGTGGAGCAACATTTTTTTTTTAAAGAGCAACATTTTTAAAGAACTGAAAGGAAAAAAAAAGTGCCAACCTACAGTTCTATACCCAGAAAAATTATCTTTGAAAAATGCAATATACCTTTTCAGATATAAAAAGCTAGGAGAATTCATCACTATCAGATCTGTGCTACAAGTCCTTTAGGCAGCGGAATACAATACCAGATGGGAATGTGGATTTACATAAGCAATGAAAAACATCAGAAATGTTAACTACACTGATAACACAAGATTTTTGTTATTATCTAAATCCCTTTAAAAGATAGTTGAATGAGCCGGGCTTGGTGGCTCAGCCTGTAATTCTGCACTTTGAGAGGCTGAGGTGAGTGGATAGCCTGAGCCCGCAGGTTCGGACCCAACTGGGCAACTTGGCGAGACCTCATCTCTATAATAAATAAAAAAAAATTAGCCAGGTGTGGTAGCGCGGGCCTGTAGTTCCAGCTACTTGGAAGGCTGAGGCA